CGGTCAACTCGTTGCAAGGCAGGGCCAGTGAAACGGCACGAATTGCACATTGTTGCGACACTCTGTCGCTGTCATCACCGCGCCGAGGAACCCCGAGTCCATTCGAGCCTCTCTGAAGAGGAAGAGGCACACTGCTGTTTGGAGCGATTGGGCGACACTTGAAGGAGGGCGGCTGGCGCTGCACCGCCCATATGAGTGTGCCCGGGCTCGGTTGGAGAATAAGAAATATTGGCGTGCAGCTCAGATCCCCACGCGCAGTTCCAGGCGGTGCGCATTCGATTGGCGCCGATGCAGGAGTTGCTCATGATCATCAATGGAACGACAACTTGGCGACCATCAGCACTCCGCAAGGCCCGTCACAAGTCTCCACCACTTCTGCCACGGGAAGAAGGAATGCGTTCGATACGGCAGAGACAATCGGAAAATCATGCAGATTCATGACGTGCCAGGGGGATTAGAGCTGTTACGAGGCAGACGGGGGCCCAAGTGGGGAATCCGTGGGAGGCGGGGATTTTTACGGAGGGTCGCGTTCGCACCATTTGACGGCGTATTGAAATGCATGATGGATGCAACGCCTGGCCACAGCTCCTGGATGCGTCTTGGGCCACCTTTGCGACGTCGGCTGCGCCAGGCCCCGGCATGCAGACAGTTGTGAGAACGGTGCGCCCTGGGCGTGCGCTGTTCGCGGGGAAGAGATGCTTACGGAATCTCGCCGGTTGTCAGGGCGACTGCGCACACCCAGTCAAATGGATCCTCCGGACAGCGAATAACGATGCCGGAGCGCGGGCCGAGGACGCTTAGGGTGCTGTCGAAATGCCCAGAAATGGGACTGCCCATCCTCCAGGCGGTTCAGAGAGCAAAGAAATAGCATGCCGTGCCCCGCCCAATGAAGCACAACGCTGCAAACGTGGTCGGATTGGACAACACAACACGGCGTGCCGAGTGAAGCTGCAAAAGGAGGCCTATAAACACACACAAAAAGGACTTTCGGCTCCGGAAGCAGTGCCTTCTGGGCCGGCACAGGTGGAGCACCGTCATCAATGTCCGGGTGTAACCGCGCGGCATGGGTTCTCCTCGACGCTGCGCTCGAGGTGATGCCGTGGGCCACCTCACCAGGACGTCGTGCGGTTGCCACCGTTGATGTAAACGAGCTGGCGCACCGGGCGACGGTGCTGTGGGCACAACTGACGCCGGGGGAGGACGGCACACGACCATCTTTCCTGAGGGCCAGAGCATCGTTTGGCGCACCCATAGTTGTCGGGTTGCGTTGCGGGAGGAGGAGGATTGCCCGCCCTAGCGACGAGTGGACGTGTGCGCTTTTCATTCCTGAGGTGGACCCGACGGCGGATGAATCCAACGGCACGCGACTGTGTTGACAATTTGTGGAGAGAAACTGCGTTACGATCCGTCATTTAGACGAGCGATGGGAAAGAACTGAATTTGCGGATTCCCGCACAGCATGCGCTGCTTGTGAAAAGGGCGGGTGTTATTTGTAGAGCCTTGGAAGTGCCCGTCGCGGGATGGGCCGGCGGTGTTGGACAAGCCGTCAGGGCGGGGTGGCGGTCCATCGCATGGCCAAAGGCAACGAACGCCCATGAGGACGCTGAGGTCATGTTTGCTCTGCCATTTTACATTTCACAGTGTCTTAGCGCGGTGCGGGACGAAGCCGCCGCTTTACTGGATCTGGGTGCGTCTTTTTACGGGAGAGTTTCCACTGTCGAGTGGGATTTGTGGATCTCGTGGAATTGACTTGCCTCCACACGGTCACGAGTGTTGTCCGGAAGTTCCCCGCACCCCCGCGAGGGTCTTGGTGGAAGGCCCCGAGATGGTACGACAGCAGTCTGTGGCGCCGCGCGTGGTAAGGAGACTTCTGTTGGGATTAGCAGTATCCGAACCAGCGGGCGGCGGAGGAGCGTGGTTCGGCGGGACCAATGTGCGGCCAAGAAGTGGCGCCAACGGGAGAACAGGAAGCCCTTGCCAAGTGGTGTGAATCTATTGGTGTATCGTTCAGCCGCGAGACGAAGAGCGCCGCCTTGAGGCACGATGCGAAGACGAGGATTGAGGGAGGCCGCGTTTCTCCGAACACCTGCAGCTGAGGGTGTGGATGGTGTGGCCCCCGTATGATGCTGCGCGGCGGTGCGGGGGATTCTCTCTTTTGACATTAGCTCTTGTTTTTTCAACATATAGCATCCCCGACTGTCGTGTTCTCACGATCCGGCAGGAGCGGCCCCGCAAATTGCCGGAGAAGGAGCTCGCTTGCCTTGGGGCAGCCTCGCCAGTTCCTGCCATGTTGGCGACAGACGCATCCATGCACGGATGGAGCGGTTTACTGCTTTGGGGGGAGGGAATTGTTGGCGGCTGGCGGGGACGGGTGCCAAACACAATTCGCCCGCCGACGACACCCCGATGAGATCACCACTGGTGGAATTTCGCTGCCCAACATGTGACTTTTAGCACTAAAGCAATGACGGACTGACTCGCCACCGCACGGCACGCCACGGGCATCGACCGGACGTCGTGAAAACCGGCCAACGTGCATTGTGCGATGAAGCAATTCCGCATCCACTCCACTTCCCGGCTCTGCCTGCAATTAGACAAAAAATGAAGCGGACACTTGAGAAGTGAGGAAGCCGCGCCTCACGAAAAGGTTGGCGCAGTTTCTCCTCCTGGGTGGAAAGGCTCTGCCCCCCAACAGTGCCTCTGCGCGGCGAGAAGGCATGAGGCCCATCGCAGTTGCGGCATAACGTCGATGCTCCTGGTGGCAGGCGCCTCCTCACTTCTCATTATTTATTGATTATTTGGCTGATTTATGGTTTTGTTATTGTGCTGATTATCGGCAGCAATGGATGATTGAGCCACGGCGCTAGCCCGGGGCGGAGGCGTGGCAGGGTTGTGTTTCACGCCCTCCGCTGCAGCTGCCTCTCCAGGGGGCCGGGGCTCCCCTTCACGTCTCCACTGAGCAGGGCAGACGTGCTCGACGATGGTGGCCGGCGTGCGGCCCGTTGAATTCATTTGAGAAAACACGGGAAAACAACAACAGCAAAAAGCGGTTGGAGCGAGCTCCCACGGTCACGGAGAGACGGGTTGTGGCACACGTGCGTATACGTTGTTGCCAGCGACTCCTGGGGGGGCGCTGCGGATGGTCATGGCGGACACTATGGGCCCCTGTGTGTTGGCGCTTGTGGTTGCCTTTGGCCACGCTCATATCCACCGTGTTGGAAGGGCGGCGTGGTCGTGGGCCGGTGGAGAGATCAGCGGCGAACACGGTGACTTCCACGCCGTGGACTCACAGTAACCTTTTGGACAGCGGCGGTGCGGAAGAAACTGTCATGATCGTTGCACCGCCTTCACGCTTTTTATTGAGCACTCCGAAGGGAGAGCAGCGAAAGAGGATCCGTCCGCATGACTCTTTCCATTCCCGCTTCAGGGCTGCCCATCACGATGAGGCCAGCATAAACTGCGGTGCACGCCCATGCAGCTACAGGACGGAATCCCGTGCGCTGCTTCTAGCCCTAGAGAAGCTGATGATTCCTCGTATCCGCCACAGGCGTAAAACCCTGCTTGTGGTTACGGACAGTCAGTCTCTTCCAGCAGCTCTAAACAAGGGCCCGCCCAGTCAGACAGACTGGACGGAGGATCAGATCTGGCAGCGTCTCCTAACACTGACGCGTGCTGGCTGGTCCGTGCACCTGCAGTTTTGTTACGGACATTGCGGAGTACATGCTAACGAGCCTGCAGATCAGTATGCGACGCAGACCACGGCAACCGGGCAATACACGGAGCATGGAATAGCACCCATACGGCACACGGACCTGCTGTCATGCATTAACACCCAGCCCACCAACAAGTGGCGTAGTACCATGCATCATGACACCCACCACTACCTGCTTGGCGGTGCCAGGCCATCAGATCCAGGCGGCAATGATCTGATTACTCAGGAGGCCCTCGACTGACAGGAACAGATACACATTGCACGGGAAGGGTGCGGGGAATCCGAGCTCTGGGGTCGCCTGTACTGGACTGTGAGAGACTGCACGAACCAACGCCGTTTCCGCAACATATCACCGGAACACTCCGCTTTCATGCGCTCCAACGACGATCCCACTGCACCGGGACGGACGCTGTTCCCCCGACGGCAAGGGAGGCCGACGCACCGCCTGTGGAGAGACGGCCCTCCACACGGCGTCGAAAGAAGAAATGCCCGCACTGTGATTCTACATTGACGGGACACAAGAACCACATCGGTCACTGTCGGTCATTTCATCCGGAACATCCCCCACCGCTTCCCGAGCTCAAATGTGATTTCTGTGACATGGTTTTCCCCACACGGAGAAGCACCGCACAGCAAAGAAGTCGCTGCGCACACAACCCAGACGCCACACGGCATCGAAACAGCAGTGCCAGGCGGCGATCTCTGCTACCGCAGGATCAGCCAGCTTCCACAAGCACGCCAATCGGCCCGCAGGAAACCTTGCACCACCTGCTTCCAGAATGTCCAGGCACCTTGGCTGTGCGCCAACGGCTGGGCATTGAGCAGGAACTCCGTACCGGAAAGTTCTCTCAATGGCAGCTGCTTCACAGCAGAAAACTTTTGTCGTTGCTCGACCATCTCTTCGGCACCCAGATGGCATCGTGTGGCTAGACACACCGGTAAGAGTGGGGAAAAGACGGAAGAAAATGTCAAGAACGGGGAAAAAAGTGAAGAGGTGGAATTCCATCAATGAACCGGAGTGAATTTTCCAGTCAGTAGCAGTGAAACAAATGGACAGTCTTTCACGAAGGTAACCCTGTTTATTGTAGAAAAAAAAAACAAGATGGTTTCATAATGTTGTACTCAATCCGTATTCCAGCAGTTACCATAACTTACTGATACCGTATTTTATTGAGAATGCACCAGTTATTCAATCCATTCATTTATTCTGTCAAGGTAATCCAATTGACAAGCATACAAGCAGCTAAAGTGTCCTGTGAAAGGCCCAGAGGAAAAAACACACCCAAGAATGTGTCACACTCTGCTATTCCAGGTGCTGCTGCTCTGCTGCTTCTCTGGTTCTGTTGCCGTCGCTGAGCATCACTGCATCTCCGAAGAAATTGAAAAAAAGGTTGGCCCCCGGACGACAGCAGTGGTGCTGGAGCTGCCAACTCGGGAAAGTGGCATGTTGCGGGCGCTGACTGCCTCGGCTCCCGAATGGGCGCCCATCCGCTTTAAATTCTTCACGGAGGATCTGAAGGATCCCTCAAAATACTGCACCGCCGAGGGGCAGATTCGTCCGGACTTTACTGGGGAAACTGTTGAGTGTAAGAGAGAGGATATTTTAACGGAGGAAAAAAAGTCCATCATATTAAAATCCCTTCTTCCCCGAGCAGTTAAAATGCACAGGGATCGTCTCCTTGTTGAACCACTCACGCACCGAATTATTGTGCCATGGTACTCGTCAGGTATATGCGCTCAGTTTAAAATACCCAGATCCCACCACATATTGGGTGTGACTGGTGCGGACATGTTCTTGTATGTCTCTGCTGGCCCGACAGAGGCCTCCATTCTTGCGTGGGCTAGTTTTTGCTCTGAATTAGCCAATGGACGCCCCGTTGTCGGTGTGGTGAACTATGGTCCGAAAGCTGTCTTTGATTCTGTGTACAGTGTTCGTGTTACAGCACATGAGATTGCACATGCTATTGGGTTTACTGTGGATATGATGGAGGAACGCAGTATGTTGAAAGAGGTTAAGGGTGTACGTGGCAAGGCAAAGGTACTTCAGGTGTCGTCACCCAAGACGGTGGAGAAGACTCGCGAGCACTTCAACTGCGTGAGTGCTACCGGCATGGAGCTGGAGGATCAGATAGGGGCCACAACAACATCGTCGCATTGGAAGAGACGCAACGCAAAGGACGAGCTGATGTCTAGTCTTTCCGGAATCGGCTACTACACGGCGTTGACAATGGCTGCCTTGGAGGACACCGGTTTTTACAAGGCCAATTGGGGAAAGGAGGAACCGATGTCATGGGGCAACAACTCCGGCTGTGCACTGCTGACGGAGAAATGCGTGATAAATGGTGTCACCAAGTATCCGGAGATGTTTTGCACCGCTGAAAGCAGCCTTTTTCAATGCACATCGGATCGCCTGGCGCTGGGGCACTGTACGCTGAAACTCTACGACGCTCCCCTTCCCCCGCAATTTCGGTACTTTTCGAATCCCAAACTTGGCGGTGCTTCAGAACATCTAATGGACTTCTGCCCTTACATTGAAAAGTATGACGACAGTAGATGCAGTAATGGGAACGCAACCGTTATGCGTGGGAGCCGCGTTGGCCCGAGATCAAAGTGCTTGAAAGGGGATGGACTCGCCGATTTCATGGGTCGTATTGGTGACGTGTGCGCTGAGGTGTCGTGTGACAAGGGCGAGGTGAGCGTGCGGTACCTTGGAGATGATGCGTGGCATAAATGCCCGGAGGGCAGCAGTATTACACCAACTGGGCTGTTCACGAGAGGGAGGATTTTGTGTCCAAAGTACGACGATGTATGCACTGTCATCGATGCATGCAGGGGAGGTGGAGGTGTGAGCAGTTTGTTGTCAGTTTTTCCATTGATTCCATTGATTTTGCTGGTCCTTATTTTTATTTCAATGTGTTAATTATTTTGAAAAAAAAACGCGTCTTAGCTGTTTAATTGTAAATGTGCCAGTTTTTTGGTGGGTAGTTTTAATGCTTTTCTTATCGTTTTAAATTTCTTATCGCCGAACATAACTTCAATTGAAAAGAGATGCTTTGAAAATATAAATATACATTTTTGTGCGACCCAAAGCGGCCTGCAGTTTTTCTCTGCTATGCACTCTAGGTCAAATTAATATTTTCCCAAATTGAACTGTTTCCTTTGTAACGAACGCAAAAGAAGCATTGTGTGTGTGAGGCAGCATTTAGAGAAAATAAGTCGTTTGTGTTGTTGGAGCCTAGTTTTTTTTTTTTTTAATTTAACCATCCCACCCACCCACTTTTGATTCCCACCTCGTGGCGGGGCCTTGTGACTGGAGGAACTCATAGTCTTCCACCTCGCAAGGAAGAAACATCATCCATCTGAATAGACTGCACCGTGTCAGGAGAGTGACTTCCCCAATATACATGTATTTACTTGGAGCAAACATTGAGGATGTGGCAAATCCGCTGCCTCTCCATTTACCCCTTTTCCCCGTCTTGCTTGATTTCTTTAGATAATTTTAGGATTCGGGCAGCGGCCCAGGCGATTATTTTTCCCTATCTATTCTTGTGAAGCCTAGCGCAAAGCATATTTATTGAGGGAGGAATTTATGGGTGGATTCATGGCTCGGACGGCGTCCACGAGACACACACGCCCACAACCACACTCTGAGGTTGTGTGTCCCCACGGCACTTTCTCCACTTTTTCTTTGCCCAGCGAGTAACCCGCCATTGAGTCACCACGTGGGCGGTGTTCTCACCATTAGCGTGCGGTCAACTCGTTGCAAGGCAGGGCCAGTGAAAAGGCACGAATTGCACATTGTTGCGACACTCTGTCGCTGTCATCACCGCGCCGAGGAACCCCGAGTCCATTCGAGCCTCTCTGAAGAGGAAGAGGCACACTGCTGTTTGGAGCGATTGGGCGACACTTGAAGGAGGGCGGCTGGCGCTGCACCGCCCATATGAGTGTGCCCGGGCTCGGTTGGAGAATAAGAAATATTGGCGTGCAGCTCAGATCCCCACGCGCAGTTCCAGGCGGTGCGCATTCGATTGGCGCCGTTGCAGGAGTTGCTCATGATCATCAATGGAACGACAACTTGGCGACCATCAGCACTCCGCAAGGCCCGTCACAAGTCTCCACCACTTCTGCCACGGGAAGAAGGAATGCGTTCGATACGGCAGAGACAATCGGAAAATCATGCAGATTCATGACGTGCCAGGGGGATTAGAGCTGTTGCTCGGCCCACGAGGCACGCGCATAATGTGCCCGTTGTATATATGCATGCACACCCATGCAGGCCCGTTGGTGCTCTCTTTTGCACGACACGCACCGCTGCCGTCCTGCCTGTCTGCATGGGCGGAGCACCGTAACTGTTTCTGTTTTGTTTTTATTGCCTTGAGTGGGCGACCTCTCTCTCTCCCTCTGTGTGTGTGTTTTGCTTTACGGGAGTAATGAGAGTGTGTGTGCGCTGGTCGTCCCACGCTTCGGCTTTTTGTTTTGTTTTCCTTTTTGATTTTGTGGTTCAGTGCACCCATTCCGCGGCTGCATGTGCGTGTGTGATGACATGAGTAATTTGTGTGTGTGCCATCCGCTTCTTTTTGCTGTTGTTTTCTTTGGATTTCCTTGTGCCGCACAGCTGCTCTGTAAGTATAGGCGCTGACGAACACACAAGCACATGCGCACACGCACACCATTTGGCGCACGCTGTGTAGCGGCGTGAACGCTGAGGACGCACGCACTCTGCGGATGGTCATGGCGGACACTATGGGCCCCTGTGTGTTGGCGCTTGTGGTTGCCTTTGGCCACGCTCATATCCATCGTGTTGGAAGGGCGGCGTGGTCGTGGGCCGGTGGAGAGATCAGCGGCGCACACGGTGACTTCCACGCCGTGGACTCACAGTAACCTTTTGGACAGCGGCGGTGCGGAAGAAACTGTCATGATCGTTGCACCGCCTTCACGCTTTTTATTGAGCACTCCGAAGGGAGAGCAGTGAAAGAGGATCCGTCCGCATGACTCTTTCCATTCCCGCTTCAGGGCTGCCCATCGTAATGAGGCTGCCGTGCGGTGGCGTCACCCCTATGAGCTGTTGGGATAGAAAGGGAGAGCGCTGTGCGATGCTCCTGCACGTGGACGGGCGCCGTGCAGGTGGTGGCTGTTGCGTGGCCGGTCACACAAATACTGCGACACCACGAGGAGAGCAAACCAAACACTCCGCGTGCAGGGAGCGTTGTGGCCGATGAAGAATGCGTGCGACGGTGATGGGCGTTTCCTCGACGACAGATTGACGGTTTTTCCCTTTGATGGAGTCGGTGCGCATGCGGTGTGTGTGGCTGCCTCTGTGGTCTCCTGTTACTCCGCTGTTTGTTCCGCATCTCGACGCATCACTGGCAATAAGCTGTTTCCTTTTTCTCCTCCCTCTTTTTTCTTTACTTCTCTTTTCCCACAGCCAGGCTGCACTGCTGCTGCTGCTGCTCACACGAAACAAGAAATGCAATTTACTCGAACCATGCGCCAGCCACGCCACGCCACGCCGCTTCTCCCATTGGTGGTGTTGCTGCTGATGTATTGCGCCACTGGATGTATTGCCGCCGCTCCCGCCACACAATACCGCTGTGTGTTTGACGCGATAATGGAGAGGAGCGGCCCGCTGTCGACTGCAGTGGTGCGTGAGGTGCCGCGCAAGGGACAGGGCGCGTTGCAGGCGTACACCGTCGCCGCACAGGATGACGACAGTGACTGGTGGCCGATCCGCATCAAGGTGTTCACGGGGGATCTGGAGAAGAGACGTAATAAAAAGAAGACGTTCTGCGAAAAGGCTGGGGAAACATGCGAAACCGTCTTGGGGGAAAAGGTAGACTGCGAAGCAAGAGATATATTTTCGCTGGAAAAGAAACAACTGTACACTCAAAAGATTATCCCCGGTGCTGTCAAACTGCACGCTGAGCGGCTACTTGTGAAACCCACTGCTGATAAAATAACGGTTCCGAGGAGTCTGAATGAGCCGTGTGACCACTTTAATCCTCCTAGTGAGCACATAAGAGACGGTGTGCCTGATGCTGACTTTATCATCTACGCCGCTGCTAGGCCATCAGGCACTAAAAGCAGGGCTGTTTGGGCGGCCACGTGTATCACATGGGGTGATTCTCGTCCCTCTATTGGCGCCATGAACTTTGATCCGAAGTACATGACTGACACGGCGTGGAGCGTTCGCGTTGCCGCGCACGAACTTGCACATGCTCTTGGGTTCAGCCAAAGGAATATGGAAGAAAAGAGCATGTTGAACTCTGAATACATTGTGCGTGGGAGGAGTCGTTGGATGGTGGCGGGGAATCACGTTAAGGCGAAGACGCGAGCCCACTTTGGTTGTGACTCTCTCGAGGGAATGGAGCTGGAGGACGAGGATGGTGCATCGTCAAGAAAGATCCCTCACTGGAAGGAACGCCACGCGCGGGACGAGCTGATGGCTCCCACAGTCGGTGCCGGCTACTACACGGCTCTGACGATGGCGGTGTTCGCGGATATGGGGTACTACCGCGTGAATTGGAGCATGGCGGAGCCGATGAGCTGGGGCCACCGCAGTGGCTGCGACTTCCTGGAGAAGAAGTGCAGTGAAATAACAGATTTCCCCACCAAGTATCCTCACATGTTCTGCGATGACTCTGACAATGAGACTCTTCGCTGCACCTCTGACCGCCGTCACGTCGGGACGTGCACCGCAGCCATCGTTGAAAACAAGGGGACTCCTGCGGAAAAGGACGTTTGCCCTGTTGTCTCTTCGTACTTTCACGAAATATCGTCTGGGACAACGTACAATGCGTGCTCGGACGGAACTGTGACTTCTCTCCCTGGGTCGCTGACTGGCGGTGACTCGTGGTGCCTGGATGCGGAATTGGTGGAGACGAATGATAGCACTAAACATAAAAGCGTCAAGGGAGTGTGCGCACAGGTGCTGTGTGAGGAGGGAACAGTGAAGGTGAAGTACCTCGGCAGCAGTGATTTTCATTATTGCCCCGAGGACACTCAAATCTCAGTGACGTTGAATGGTTTTGAGCAAGATGGAAAGATCAAGTGCCCGAAGTACGGCGAGGTGTGCACCATTGCCGGCAACGGCAGCAGCCTTGTTGTTCCGAGAGCGTTGGAGGATGATAAGCGAGAGGAGCAAGAGGAGAAAAGAGAAGAGTCTGTGGCTGCTCCGGCGTTGTCTCCCGGAGCTGAAGCTCGTACAAAGGCGTCCCCTGCCGATTTACCCGCGGGGGAGCACTCTTCTGAAGAGGAACCCATTGAAGAAGCGTCCATTGCAGAAGCGTCTACTGCAGAAGCATCTCCTCCAGGTAAAAACTCTGAAGCCCCAGTAGAGGAAGCGGCATCGAAGCAGCCTCAACAAGAAAGTGAAGCAGAAGAAATGACAGCGGTGGAGGCATCTGCCACTACACAGCAAGTGCCGGCGAATTCATCGCAGGGAAGTGTGGGGTGGGCGACGGTTTCGAACATCCCTGCCGTTGGAGAAACAACAGGTGATGGTGGCATTGTGTGTGAGAGCAGGGCGGTGCCGTTGCTCTTCCTGCTGTTGGGACTGTGGGGGTTTGCCGCTCTGTGAGGAGTGACCGGCTGCCGCGTGGGACACTTGCGACCTCTCCTGCACGGAATTATTTCCCCGGGAAAAATTTCTCTGACATTTTTTTGGTGTTTTTTGTGCGTTTTTTCATTTTTCAATGTTTTTTTTTTTCCCTTTCTTTTATTCCATTTTCGTTTTTCATGTCTCACTCCACATTCTTTTGTTTTTCTTTTTTTGGGCCAATCACTATGGACGTTTTCTTTTCTACTCTTCCCTCTTTAATTTTTTCTTCTGCCCTCCTCCTGTGAGGGGTGCCGTGTGTTTCCCGCCCAACTGCTCCACTCGCACACCCACCGACACGCTCATGACGACGGCCCTGTGCGCCTCGCCTGCTGCACGCATGAGGAGGGGCGGCGACGAACGGCGCGCTGAGGGAGCCGTGACGTGTGGGCGTGCGACGAGGGCCTGTGGGGCGGAGCACACATTTCTTTCCCTCTTGTTTTTTTTTGTTTGCGGCCAGGGCGGGCAGACACCCGCAGCGCCACACACAGCCACACCCTGCCGCCGTGCTTTTAATGGGTTTTGCTTCGTGTTCATTTCTTTTCCCCTCTGATGATTCTTCTTCTTTTGCTGCGCTCACTCTCCCGATGGAGTGACGCGACTCCCGTCATGTCTGCGTGCTTCTCTCAGTCCCCACACACACGAGTGACTGTGCGCTGCGGGCCGCACTCGCACGCCGATGAAAGGGCTGAGGGGAGCAGCGACACGCAGATGAACCCATGAAATGCAATTGATGTGCGAACATATATGGAGGCCAGACGGTTGAAAGACATGTAACTATTTAAGTTTCTTTTCGGGCAATGTATATACAGACAGTTTGGTGTGGCCACACGGCAGCCAGGGATTTTCTTTTCTTATTTTTAAATTTGGGTGAGACAGTGATGGACGATTTTTTAAATATAACTATTTTGTGCGATGTAGTTTATATGAGATGAGGGGGAACGTTTTTTTGTTTTAAATAAATTTTGTCCGGGTTGCCGCTGCCTGGGCTGCAGTGCAGTCATGAGTTTGAGCAGTCTTCCTCATGTTGTCTTCACCATGCACCTCTGCTGTACATGTTTGTGCGTCTCTCCACATACTCTGCTCCCTTTTTCTACTTCTTTCCCTTGTGTTTCTGCAGGCACACACAAACAGACACACACACACGATGCACATTGCAGTGGATTTGGATGCTTCGTTTGTAGTGCATGCTGGTAGTTGCGTGTGGCGGTTGTTGTCTTCTTCCGTGGCCATGAGGAGGAGGGAGGAGGGAGGGAGTGCGTAGCCCGAGTCTTTTTTCCTGTGGCTGCGTTGGGTTGGGCTCCGTGTTCCACTGAGGACCGGATGGCAGTGCGAATTTTGTAGCCGCGTCATGGATGGCTGAGGGTTCGCTTGCGCCGTGTGTGTTGTGTGGTGGCCGCGGGGTTTTCGGCCACTTCCCTGGGGTTGTGGAAATGAGCGGGGGGAGATGGTGGTGGCGGGTGCCGTCTCGTGGTGTGTGAACTGTGCTGCTGGGCCTGCTGCCCTCTCTTCGTGTTGTCTACTCTCTCTTGCTGTATCCGCTGTGCTCTGTTTCTCTTCCTCTTGTTCCATTCTTTTTCTTCTGTCCCACAGATCAGTTCACTGGCTCCAGCGACTCCACTACGGGTGATGATGATGATGGTGATGGTGCGGCGCCGTGCGGTGTGCGCCGTGTTGTTCCTTGCGCTCTTGTGCTGCTGCTGCTCGTCCGTGTGCGTTACGGCGGCTGGGAGTCCTGGACATGTGTCTGGTGATGCGGGTACGGTGGTTGTGCCTGTGGATGTGTCGTGTGCTCAGAGCGACGGCAGCCTGAGCTATCGCGTGCATGGGGGTGTGTGGGCGTGGAAGAAGTGTTCTGTTGCCGGTGCTGAGGCTCAGCATGAGAATTATACGTTCAGTGGCTTTGATGTGCGCATGCATAGCCGAAATGGTGAGATGGGTGCTGTGTGTCATGTGGCCAATGCGGTGTACACATGTAACAACTGTGCTGCCAGCTGTGCAACGAAAGGGGAAGGGGTCACCGTTGCCTTCACGATGAATGTGACGACACATAAATACGCCGGCCTTTATTTCTTGTGGAAGAATCAATTTTCCCCCGACGGAACTATTCCTGCGCCCGCACGGAGCAGCGATGCTGACCGGACGGGCATCTGCCACCCACCACCGCCCCGTGAAGGGAAGGATGAGAGAAAATCCGGTGAGGCAACGGCGTCGCAAGTCAGTGCCGAGCCGTCACGTCAAAACGAGGATGCGCGACAGTCTGCCGTGGCTGACGCGCCCCGTACCGTCGATCAGAGTCCCGCATCCAACACGGAGACCAACACGTCTATGAAAAAGCCTCGCATTGCAACCGATCCGAACGAAAACGTGGCTCCAACACCATCCAATAGGAAGCCTAGCATTGCCATGAGTCGGAACATAAAAATGGATCCGAATGCATCCGTGACGAAGACTGCTCCCGCCACCGCGTTGAGGAAGGCAGTGGGCTCGAGGGATGCCCGTAAGAGTGAGGCCGATGACGGCAGCGGCGAGCACGTTCCTGGGAAAATTGCGGGAGGAATGAATGGTCAGAACGTCCCCGGAACACCAAAACGGCATCAAGAAATGTGTCCTTGCGCGATCTGGAGCGGCGTGAGTCCAGACGGCCGCCTCGTCCTGTTTGACGACGTGGAGTTGATACCACGCGATTCAACTGGCGGCCGCACTGCGCGTGTGTGCGTGTCTCTGACGTTGCTGCTGCTGCTGCTGGAACTGTGTGGAGTTGTGGTGGTCTTTCGAGCGAAAGAGGGTGGGATTGTGACTCCCCACGGAGAACATGTGCCGCGTTGCATGCGCTTTTTTGTCACTGTTTCTTCTCTTCTTTTTTGATGATTTACGGATCGCTTTTTAAATCTTTTTTTCTTCTTTGATACTGTTTTCCCTTTTTTCTTCTTTGTAATGTTCTTTTTGATGCTTTTCCACTGGAGTAATAAGTGCACTTTTTTCTTCTCATTATTTAATGTTCGGTTGATGTGCACTGGAATGGGCGAAGTGTTTCCCTCTCTTGTGTGTTTGTTTTTGTTGTTGCCCACACGCGGTGCCGGCTCCGCTGCTGTGCGTCCCACGGACTGCAGGAACGGGGATTGGAAGAAGAGGCCGGATGCCGCGTGAAATGCGAGGGACGTTGTGTGGGCTCGTGAAGCAGTGCAATCACTTATTTTTACTTTAATTTATTCCTCTTGGTGCAGGCAATATGTATGTACAGGAACACAAGGTCGTCTATATTCTGCTGCTTGCCGCATGAAATAAAAATTCTGCCGAATGAATTTTCTTCATTGTTTCCGGGAGCCCTGCCGGACACTCAAATTGTTTTTCGTGTTTTCTTCAGCTTTTTTTAGCTTTCTGTTTGCGGGGCGGTGTGCGGGTTCTGCAGTCGTACCAATTCCAACTGCCTCATTGTGTGTTTGTTGCTGCTGTCATTTGTTGCTGTGCGGTGGCGGGGAGTTAGTTTGTGCTGAAGGCTGCACGCAAGTGACAGGAGTGATGGCGATGATGATGACTGGCCGTGTGCTGCTGGTGTGTGCCCTCTGCGTGCTGTGGTGCGGTGCCGGCGATGTTTATGCGGGGGACCTCGACAACAGGGCACTGGGTGGCTGCATGGCGTCGGGAGTGTTGGGTATGAATGCATCGTATGTGCCGAACGGATGTAATGAATACATGCCGACGCCGCCTTTGCGGTCAGCATTGCCTATCCCTGCCATACAAGCCGAAGATGGGCAGGTAAGGGATACTGCTCCAGGATCTGGTTCTGGAGTTGGAGAAGGCGGAGGTTCTCCTGGTGCTCTTTCTCCTGCTGGTGCAGCAGCTTCTCCTGGTGGTTCTTCTGGACGGGAATCTGATTCTCCGGCCTCTTCTTCTGGATATCTTTCTTCTCAGAGTGATGGCGCGGTGATGAAAAGCAGTGATTTATCCACTACGCATAGTGGACCCCAACAAGAGGTGCTGCAACAAGAAGCAACAGAGACTCATGACCCCTCGCTGTCCAAAGGATTGACACAGGAGGCACTCCCCGATGTACAGCAGTCACAAATCTCTACTTCTGAAAATATTAAAACGGGTTGCGGAGAAGAGGCATCGAATTGCGAAGATGAACAATCGGTGGAAAAGGCAACATTGGGAAAAAAGGATTTGACGGTAGCCAAAGCACAAAAACCTCCAGCGACACAGAATACGAAATCAAAAGACAATGAGGAGAAACCAGCGGAAGCATCAAGTACGGAATCTCAGAATACGGAACCCCAACAAGAAATAAAAACGCCAGTGGATGAGAGTGACAGTACGAGCACCGATGCATTCACAGCGGTTGCCACACGGAGTACATCAGCCGGCAGTCAAGAAGAAGCAACTGCGTCATCTTCCAATGGCAGTCATTCTCCACTTCAGGGGGAAGTATTCACTGGAACGGACACTCCCGAGAATGCTCCATCTCCGGCTGCCGCAGAAACAGAAAAACGCCAAGGAGAAAATGTGACGAAAGATGGCGACAGCGACGGCAGCCCCGCGGTCTCCCACACCACCTCCCCTCTTTTGCTTGTTTTTGCGTGTGCGGCTGCTGCTGCTGTGGTGGCCGCGTGAGAGTGAGTGTGAGAGAGCCGTGCACCGCCCGCACACACACTCTTCCTTCTCTCTCTGTGTGTGTGTCCCCTTGCATGGACTCTCGCCCTCACCTCACCCCACGAAGCACACACATAATGTGCCCATTGTATATATGCATGCACACCCATGCAGGCCCGTTGGTGCTCTCTTTTGCACGACACGCACCGCTGCCGTCCTGCCTGGCTGCATGGGCGGAGCACCGTAACTGTTTCTGTTTTTATTGCCTTGCATTCAGTGGGCGACCTCTCCCTCTCTCTCTCCCTGTGTGTGTTTTGCTTTACGGGAGTAATGAGAGTGTGTGTGCGCTGGTCGTCCCACGCTTCGGCTTTTTGTTTTTTATTATTGTTTTACTTGTGTGGTTGAGTGCACCCATTCCGCGGCTGCGTGTGTGTGTGTGATGACATGAGTAATTTGTGTGTGTGCCATCCGCTTCTTTCTGCCGTCACTTTCTTTGGACTTTTTTGTGCCGCACAGCTGCTCTGTAAGTATAGGCGCTGACGAACACACAAGCACATGCGCACACGCACACTATTTGGCGCACGCTGTGTAGCGGCGTGACCGCTGAGGACGCACGCACTCTGCGGATGGCCACGGCGGACACTATGGGCCCCTGTGTGTTGGCGCTTGTGGTTGCCTTTGGCCACGCTCACATCCATCGTGTTGGAAGGGCGGCGTGTTCGTGGGCCGGTGGAGAGATCAGCGGCGCACACGGTGACTTCCACGCCGTGGACTCACAGTAACCTTTTGGACTGTGGCGGTGCGGAAGAGAAGGTCATGATCGTTGCACCGCCTTCACGCTTTTTATTGAGCACTCCGAAGGGAGAGCAGTGAAAGAGGATCCGTCCGCATGACTCTTTCCATTCCCGCTTCAGGGCTGCCCATCGTAATGAGGCTGCCGTGCGGTGGCGTCACCCCTATGAGCTGTTGGGATAGAAAGGGAGAGCGCTGTGCGATGCTCCTGCACGTGGGACGGGCGCTGTGCAAGTGATGGCTGTTGCGTGGCCGGTCACACAAATACTGCGACACCACGAGGAGAGCAAACCAAACACTCCGCGTGCAGGGAGCGTTGTGGCCGATGAAGAATGCGTGCGACGGTGATGGGCGTTTCCTCGACGACAGATTGACGGTTTTTCCCTTTGATGGAGTCGGTGCGCACGCGGTGTGTGTGGCTGCCTCTGTGGTCTCCTGTTACTCCGCTGTTTATACCGCATCCCGACGCATCACTGGCACTAAACTGTTTCCTTTTTCTCCTCCCTCTTTTTTCTTTGCTTCTCTCCTCCCACAGCCAGGCTGCACTGCTGCTGCTGCTGCTCACACGAAACAAGAAATGCAATTTACTCGAACCATGCGCCAGCCACGCCACGCCACGCCGCTTCTCCCATTGGTGGTGTTGCTGCTGATGTACTGCGCCACTGGATGTATTGACGCCGCTCCCGCCACACAATACCGCTGTGTGTTTGACGCGATGATGGAGAGGAGCGGCCCGCTGCGGACTGCGGTGGTGCGTGAGGTGCCGCGCAAGGGACAGGGCGCGTTGCAGGCGTACACCGTCGCCACACAGGATGACGACAGTGACTGGAGGCCGATCCGCATCAAGGTGTTCACGGGGGATCTGGAGAAGAAACGTAATAAAAAGAAGACGTTCTGCGAAAAGGCTGGGGAAACATGCGAAACCGTCTTGGGGGAGAAGGTAGACTGCGAAGCAAGAGATATATTTTCGCAGGAAAAGAAACAACTGTACACTCAAAAGATTATCCCCGGTGCTGTCAAACTGCACGCTGAGCGGCTAATTGTGAAACCCACTGCTGATAAAATAACGGTTCCGAGGAGTCTGAATGAGCCGTGTGACCACTTTAATCCTCCTAGTGAGCACATAAGAGACGGTGTGCCTGATGCTGACTTTATCATCTATGCCGCTGCTAGGCCATCAGGCACTAAAAGCAGGGCTGTTTGGGCGGCCACGTGTATCACATGGGGTGATTCTCGTCCCTCTATTGGCGCCATGAACTTTGATCCGAAGTACATGACTGACACGGCGTGGAGCGTTCGCGTTGCCGCGCACGAACTTGCACATGCTCTTGGGTTCAGCCAAAGGAATATGGAAGAAAAGAGCATGTTGAACTCTGAATACATTGTGCGTGGGAGGAGTCGTTGGATGGTGGCGGGGAATCACGTTAAGGCGAAGACGCGAGCCCACTTTGGTTGTGACTCTCTCGAGGGAATGGAGCTGGAGGACAAGGATGGTGCATCGTCAAGAAAGATCCCTCACTGGAAGGAACGCCACGCGCGGGACGAGCTGATGGCTCCCACAGTCGGCGCCGGCTACTACACGGCTCTGACGATGGCGGCGTTCGCGGATATGGGGTACTACCGCGTGAATTGGAGCATGGCGGAGCCGATGAGCTGGGGCCACCGCACTGGCTGCGACTTCCTGGAGAAGAAGTGCAGTGAAATAACAGATTTCCCCACCAAGTATCCTCACATGTTCTGCGATGACTCTGACAATGAGACACTTCGCTGCACCTCTGACCGCCGTCACGTCGGGAAGTGCACCGCAGCCATCGTTGAAAACAAGGGGACTCCTGCGGAAAAGGACGTTTGCCCTGTTGTCTCTTCGTACTTTCACGAAATGTCGTCTGGGACAACGTACAATGCGTGCTCGGACGGAACTGTGACTTCTCTCCCTGGGTCGCTGACTGGCGGTGACTTGTGGTGCCTGGATGCGGAATTGGTGGAGACGAATGATAGCACTAAACATAAAAGCGTCAAGGGAGTGTGCGCACAGGTGCTGTGTGAGGGGGGAACAGTGAAGGTGAAGTACCTCGGCAGCAGTGATTTTCATTCTTGCCCCGAGGACACTGTAATCTCAGTGACGTTGAATGGTTTTGAGCAAAATGGGAAGATCAAGTGCCCGAAGTACGGCGAGGTGTGCACCATTGCCGGCAACGGCAGCAGCCTTGTCGTTCCGAGAGCGTTGGAGGATGATAAGCGAGAGGAGCAAGAGGAGAAAAGAGAAGAGTCTGTGGCTGCTCCGGCGTTGTCTCCCGGAGCTGAAGCTCGTACAAAGGCGTCCTCTGCCGATTTACCCGCGGCGGAGCACTCTTCTGAAGAGGGACCCAGTGAAGAAGCGTCCACTGCAGAGGCGTCCACTGCAGAAGCATCTCCTCCAGGTAAAAACTCTGAAGCTCCAGTATTGGAAGCGGCATCGAAGCAGCCTCAACAAGAAAGTGAAGCAGAAGAAATGACAGCGGTGGAGGCATCTGCCACTACACAGCAAGTGCCGGCGAATTCATCGCAGGGAAGTGTGGGGTGGGCGACGGTTTCGAACATCCCTGCCGTTGGAGAAACAACAGGTGATGGTGACACTGTGCGTGAGAGCAGGGCGGTGCCGTTGCTCTTCCTGCTGTTGGGACTGTGGGGGTTTGCCGCTCTGTGAGGAGTGACTGGCTGCCGCGTGGGACACTTGCGACCTCCCCTGCACAGAATTAGTTCCCCGGGAAAAAATTTCTCTGACATTTTTTTGGTGTTTTTTGTGCGTTTTTTCATTTTTCAATGTTTTTTTTTCCCCTTTCGTTCTTCTTTTATTCCATTTTTGTTTTTCATGTCTCACTCCACATTCTTTTTTTTTCTTTTTTTGGGCCAATCACTATGGACGTTTTTTTTTCTACTCTTCCCTCTTTAATTGTTTCTTCTGCACTCCTCCTGTGAGGGGTGCCGTGTGTTTCCGCCCAACTGCTCCACTCGCACACCCACCGACACGCTCATGACGACGGCCCTGTGCGCCTCGCCTGCTGCGCGCATGAGGAGGGGCGGCGACGAACGGCGCGCTGAGGGAGCCGTGACGTGTGGGCGTGCGACGAGGGCCTGTGGGGCGGAGCACACATTTCTTTCCCTCTTGTTTTGTTTTGTTTGCGGCCAGGGCGGGCAGACACCCGCAGCGCCACACACAGCCACACCCTGCCGCCGTGCTTTTAATGGGTTTTGCTTCGTGTTCATTTCTTTTCCCCTCTGATGATTCTTCTTCTTTTGCTGCGCTCACTCTCCCGATGGAGTGACGCGACTCCCGTCATGTCTGCGTGCTTCTCTCAGTCCCCACACACACGAGTGACTGTGCTCTGCGGGCCGCACTCACGCGCCGATGGAAGGGCTGAGGGGAGCAGCAACACGCAGATGACCCCACGAAATGTAATTGATGTGCGAACATATATGGAGGCCAGACGGTTGAAAGACATGTAACTATTTAAGTTTCTTTTCGGGCAATGTATATACAGACAGTTTGGTGTGGCCACACGGCAGCCAGGGATTTTTTTCTTATTTTTAAATTTGGGTGAGACAGTGATGGACGATTTTTTAAATATAACTATTTTGTGCGATGTAGTTTATATGAGATGAGGGGGAACGTTTTCTTGTTTTAAATAAATTTTGTCCGGGTTTCCGCTGCCTGGGCTGCAGTGCAGTCATGAGTTTGAGCACTCTTCCTCATGTTGTCTTCACCATGCACCTCTGCTGTACATGTTTGTGCGTCTCTCCACATACTCTGCTCCCTTTTTCTACTTCTTTCCCTTGTGTTTCTGCAGGCACACAAAACCACACAAACACACACGATGCACATTGCAGTGGATTTGGATGCTTCTTTTGTAGTGCATGCTGGTAGTTGCGTGTGGCGGTTGTTGTCCTCTTCCGTGGCCATGAGGAGAAGGGAGGAGGGAGGGAGTGCGTAGCCCGAGTCTTTTTTCCTGTGGCTGCGTTGGGTTGGGCTCCGTGTTCCACTGAGGACCGGATGGCAGTGCGAATTTTGTAGCCGCGTCATGGATGGCTGAGGGTTCGCTTGCGCCGTGTGTGTTGTGTGGTGGCCGCGGGGTTTTCGGCCACTTCCCTGGGGTTGTGGAAATGAGCGGGGGGAGATGGTGGTGGCGGGTGCCGTCTCGTGGTGTGTGAACTGTGCTGCTGGGCCTGCTGCCCTCTCTTCGTGTTGTCTA